GCGTTAAGAGTTTGGGGCGTTGAAATATAACAGTTTACTCTCTCTCTCTCTCTCTCCCCCCCCCCCCATTTTCCTTCGCTGGGAGGCGGTGGAGAAAAGGCAGTCCCCCAGGAGCAGGAGTTAGGTGCGGGGCAGCGCCGCAGCCACAGAGCGCTGCCCGGCGGGGCGGCTGCGGCGCAGTGCCCACTTGGCGGGCTCGGCCGAGCCAGACGGGAGGGAGAAGCTGGCAGGAGCAGGGAGCAGCCTCGCAGCCAGGGACGTGCCCGGCGCCGTTGGCGGTGCCGCTCCTTAACRCCGCTCGCATCGCCCGTTTGCTCCCGCTGCCCCGGGCGCTCCCGCCCGCCTCGCCCACCCAACGGCCCCCGGGTGGCTTCGCCACCCCCCTCTGCTCTGCCCGAACTGCCATAAATCGAGGCCAAGCCGAGGGAAGGTTTATTCAGGCGTTTCTCCCCAGCGCCCCGCTATTGCCAAGGCGCCCAGGGATCCCCCCGCCCGCTTCGCCTCTTAACTGGCAGCACTGCCGGCGGCGGGTGGGGTGTGCGGAGGCCGCGCGGAGAGCGAGCGGGCTCCGTGGTGCGTGTGTTTTAAAGAGCAGATCAGTATTTGCTTGATACGCTTGTCACCCATTTTTGTTCTCACGACAACCAATTGAGCCCGCGAGCCTCACGTGACGCGCGCGGCCGGCGCTGTAACGGAACCGCCGCGGCGGTTGGCGGTTGCCGCCGCGCCGCCCCTCCCCCCCCCGCCGGCGGCTCATTACGGCTTTTAGCCTCCCAACGCCGGCTAATTAAAAATACTAAAGCTAAAGCCCCGGGCCCGCCGGGCTTACGGCGGGGAGGGGGTCTGGGGGGCGAGGGGAAGGCGCAGACTGCGAGCCCTGCCGAGACAACGAGGGGGATGGGGGAGGGAAGCGCTCTGTCCTGAGAAAAAGGTCGTCTGTTTTATCTCCTCGGACTCTAATTACCGAATTGCTTACCACATGACTCATTAGCCCGAGCTCCCGTTTTATTTTATTATTTTTATCGGTTTTTTTTTTTTTTTTTTCTAGGCAGCAATTTAGGACTCTCTAGTCTGTTCGTATTTGTAAGAAAACCTTTATTTTTAAGACTCCCCCCAGCCCAAGCTTATCCTTGGGAAAAACGCACTTGAGAGCACGCTCGCCTCCCTCCGCTCCCACAAAATGTTTTGATAACCGGTTTATCAGATCAGTGGTTCCCCCTCCCTCCCCTCCTCCCCCTCCTCCTCCCTTCTCCTCCCTCCTCTTCCTCGCCCCCCTCCCCCCTCCGTTTCCCCTCAAGTTAGTTCAAGAAATCAGATCTGTCAGGACGGGCGAAAAAAATGCCACTTCCCAACTAACAGGCGGAATCCAGCCCAGATTTTCAGTCCTTTCTTCTTCTTTTTTTCCTTCCTCCCTTTCACTAATTTATCCCGATGTTAGCACATTCTGTCTCCTAACACCCGGGCGCCTGTAGGTTTGTTGCATGGGATCATTACTTACTGATCAGGACGGCTCCAAGGGCCGGGGCTGAAGACGGAGTGTGAAGTTGGGGATACATTTTTTTTTTTTTTCCTTAAGATCACTGTGATGATTGTTGCCTCTCGGTGCCTGTTAAGGAGAGCAAACAAAAAAACGGGTCCTCGGTGCTTCTGGTCTGAATGTGAGATGTGACCTGCCAGCTTGTAAAGTTGTGAGAAGCAGCGTGTTTTTTTTTTTTTTTTTTTTTCCTAATCTTTATTAAGCGAGGAGGAAAAAGCAAAAGAAACAAAAGGACTTCTGCTCCGTGTGCCAAAGTAGGGGGAGATAATGTTATTGACCGATTTGTACTGGCTGAGATGTTACTTGCTTTCTACTTCTTGATCACTTGCTCTTTAAGTAAAATGAGGCACAGAGTTGTTGCTGAAACGAGTGGGAACAGCATTTTGATTTGCTGGTTTAATTAAAAATGATAAAGGATTAAAGGTAAGCAATATGCATATATTTATATATATGTATAAATATTTCAACAGTTGACTGTGAAAGGGAGAGATCCCTTTAAAAATCGTTTTAACTAAGCTTTGTCAAACACACACTCATTTGCGGTCACTGAGGCCACCTTGGTGCAGATCACTTAAAGTGTATGTCTTAATCAGTTTCCTGTACAGTCAGTAATACTATATTTAACAGAGCTAACAATTGTGTGACCTGGGAGTACAGTAGGACTGCTTGTAGAACTGTTATTCTTGAGCCTATTTTTAATATTTTTAACAGAAAGAAGACTTTTTTTAACATGTGAAATTTGATAATTTTCAGTAAATTTATATGCAGTTGCTGGCTTTTATTAGAAACTATATTGTGTCAAGGAAAATTAGGTTTCTCACTTCTCTCTGCACTTACTTCTCTCCCTTCCCCCTTTTCCTCTTCTTTCCCCCCCTCCAAAAAAAAAAAAAAAAAAAAAAAAAAAAAAAGATTAAGTAGAAAGAGGAAAAGATAAAACAGGAAAGTCACAAAACTTCAAGGGTTTGGTTTAAAGCCACAAAATCCATGGAATGCTCTGAAGAGTGAATCTGTGTCTTTCCTTTTCTCTCTTTTGTGCCTAGGTGGTGGTCCAGGGGGTTAGATTACAACATGTGCTCCAACAGCTAGGCACGAGTCCTAAGTCTGTATTTCCTGAGCTTTGTGGATTTAAATCATGTAGTTAATTTTTTTTTGTTCTTTTTTTTTTCTTTTTTTTTCTTTTTTTTTTTTTTTTTTTTGGACGTGACTTCCTAAGAGAGATCGTGGATGTTGGGATACAACTACATGCAAGATGCTCTCTATGAAAGCATCACAGCCTTTGCCTCCAGTTTAACAAACTCAAAGACAAACCCGTGGAAATATTGAGTGATTTCGCTTCGCCTGCCTTCCCCCTTTTTATTAATCGCATTATATTCTGTTAACACCCAGGCAAGAAATACTCGACTTTTCCCCTCCTCACAGGAAAAGGTGGACGTGGACTGCAGGTTGTAAACCTAGACATACTTGGGGAAGGAAGACAAGAAGAGTTAAATTTTAAAAAAGCCCATCGGAGAAAAACGAATGTCCCCACATCTCCAAAGGAAAGTTCATCGGATCTTTATTCTAGAGATCTCATCTTCAGGATGTCAGTGAACACTTCCACTACAGGAAAAGGTGTGGATCCAAACGCGGTTGATACTTACGACAGTGGCGATGATTGGGAAATTGGGGTTGGTAATTTAATTATTGATTTGGACGCCGATTTGGAAAAGGACAGACAGAAGTTTGAGATGAATAATTCCACGAATACCAGCAGCAGCAGCAACACCAGCTCCAAGGATTGTGGGGGTCTGGCTTCGAGTGGGGCTAATGCTACCTCAGCCTTAGCTGACGGCCTAAAATTTGCTTCTGTTCAGCCCACTGCTCCCCAGGGGAATTCCTCTCACAAAGAGACTAGCAAATCAAAAGTGAAAAGGAGTAAAACTTCTAAGGATGCTAATAAATCTCTGCCTTCTGCTGCCTTGTATGGGATTCCTGAGATCAGCAGTGCTGGCAAGAGGCAGGAAGTCCAAGGGCGCCCTGGAGAGGCAGCTGGCATGAATTCAGCACTAGGTCAAAGTGTGAGCACTAACCCAAACGGCAATAATAACAACACCAGCAACAACAACACTATTGCCTCTTGTGGGAAAAACAAAGAGGAGAAACCAGGTAAAAACCAGGGCAGCAGAGGCTCCAAGCGGGATAAGGATGCGGGGAAGTCCAGGAAGGACAAGCAGCATGACCTGCAGCAGGGCCATCCCAACGGCAGTGGGAGTAGCAGCAGCCAAGCTCCCCCTGGGCACCTCTATGGCTACGGGCCCAAGGGAGGCAGTGGTGGGAGCAGCAGCCCCTTCCACTGTACCTCCTCTGCCATGGGGGAGGTGAGCAAAAGTACCCCGGATTCAGGGTTAATGGGGAACTCTATTTTGGTAAAGAAGGAAGAGGAGGAGGAGGAGAGCCACAGGCGAATCAAGAAATTGAAAACAGAAAAGGTAGGACAAGCTCCTCTCTACCACCTCTCTTCTGTGTCTCACCGTGTCTATGATAAATTTCCCACAAGTGTGTGTTTGGCTCCTGTTGTTCTCTCTGTTGTGTGTGTGACCTGCATCTGTTCCTCTTCTAAACCAAAAATTTCTGTCCCCAGGCAGAAGATGCCACGTTTTGAGTGTGCTGCTTTTTGCTTTTGATTTCCTGTGCCTGTTCCCAGACCGAGGGAACATTTCTGTGTTGTGTTGTCTGACTCTTTGATTGCATTCACCCAAAAGGACAGAACCCCGAGTTGACCCTGACTGAGTGGCTTCTGGTGTCAGCAGCCGTGTTTGTACCAGTGGGATGGCATGTGTTGTCAGGCTGGAGGTTTGTGTGCTTGCCTGGAGGGTGTGTATCTTGGGTGCTGCCAGCAGCAGGTTCTGAAGTTGTATCTGGTCCCTTCCAGTGGCATCAGCAGATGCTCGCAGACATTCCTCTCCCAGGCTGTTAAGGAGCTCTCTCTGCCTTGTCCCTGGCCCCGTTTTGCAGTCTAGATCACTCCTGGGAGAAGCAAGGCAATGGCAGAGAGCGAGGCTCTGTTACTGCCCATGGCGCAGATGCGGAATACTTGTCGTACCGAAGGCTTGTGTGGTGGTATAGCAGCCCCTAGGCCCCCCTGAGCCGGTGTGAGAAGGACTAGGAGCAAGGCAGCAGCCAGGCGGTGCCTCTAAGGCTCTGGAAGGAGGAGGCTGGGAGGAGGGGATGCACCTGGTGCCGAGCTGTATGCACACCACAGTCTGTCTTGTGCCTGCAGAGCTGGCTTATCCTAGCCCCACAGTGTCTGTGTGTGCTCTGCTTGTTTGCCGAGTGTTTAAATGCATGAAAGAAATCTGATGGGGGTGTGTGCTTTTTTTGCTTGCTATCAGTGCGCGCGAAGGATGCTTTCTGAAGTGCAAACGGACTTGTGCTCTCAGGGAAGGGCAGAGGGAGAGTAGTTTGCTTTTTGCTACTGCTCATTTCTGGGGCAGATCGAGTGTCAGCAGGATTTGCACGTCTGAGGGGCAGGAGGCTGCTTCTCCAGGTTCTTGGGCTGCAGCTGGCCAGCACCACAAGGCCAAGAAGCTCCACAGGTCTTCCCGGCATAGCCTTCCTGGCAGGGAGAGCAAGAGCTGTCTGCCTTCAAATGAGCAGTGGCAGCATGCTTGGTTATTGGCTGTCGGTCTTCAGTCGCCTACTTTTGCACCTTCACTGTGTCAGTACTCAGGGATGGGAAAACTTTCATGTTGGTGTTAGCTGTGCAGAGTGGTCTGCAAGTGCGTGGGAGGGCTGCAGATCTCAGGGAAGAGTTAATGACTTTTTTATGACCTGTTCCTAGCTTTTTATTTTTCAGTGATGTTGAAGGTTGTGTCATTTTAGGTGGACTTTTAAGGATTAGACTGGGAATATTGTGCCACCAAATATTTGTTGGGAAAACAAAGATAATTTCAAGGCAAGGAGCAAATGAAAATTCATATTGTATGTACATTATTGCTTTTAAGATAGCATATCTACGGCTACATTTGAACGAGCCTCGTGACCTTTTCTAAACGCAGATGAGAAAAGAAGAACATAAATCGCTTTAATTCCTAGGAGTATGTTTGTACTTCGTTTCCTGAAAGTTATGACTGCCATGGAAAGGTGTCCTAAAATCCCATGGCCTCCTTATTAACCTAGTACAGTAGGCATTTACTTCTGTTGCCAATAGTCTTCAAATTGCAGTTCTCTAATCTGCTTTAACTATCTAGATAAATTGCCCTAATCCGGCCTTCACAATGGCTGTGGTTAAAGAGTCAGAACCATTTGATTGGATTCAGTGGCTGCCTGGAATGTGGGAGGTGCTGCCCCTTCGCAACCCCCTTAGCCTTTTAATCTCGCAGCCAAATGTTCGCATTCAACAATTTTGTTTAGCTGGCAATCTGAACATTTCAGTATCTCAAAGGCTGCTGTCATGGCAACAGAGATTAGAGAGCAATGGTGTGGTTTCTCCAGCTTTTTTTTTTTTTTTTTTTTTTTTTTTTTGATCCCTTTTCATTCTCTAGTCACACAGGAAATTGTATGAAGGATTCACACACATGCAAGTAGTTGTACGTGCAATGCAAAGCAGATCGTATGTAAATTAAGAGCAAACATGTATGGAGCACACTGGCTGCTGTGGTTGTTGCTCCGAGCTTGTGTTTCCAGCAACAGCCACTGCCGTTGCCACGCAGGGATTTTAATGTAGGCTTCGCCCATTAGAGCCATACGGTGTTGGCCATTGTCTGGCACAATGGTGTGCATGCTTGCTGTCTTAAATAACATCTCCCAGTGCTTCTCCCCCTCAAGAATGTTCCTTTCCAGCCATATGATAATAATAATAAAGCTTGTTGCTGACAATAGTCGCAACTTAAACCCTGCCTGTGGTGTTATTAATGAAACTTTAATATTTTATGCTTGTTGCTTTGGCTTTCCCCCCCTAATGTTTAATAACCATTATAGTTTTTAGAGGATTTTAGATTCATTAAAGTGCTGCTGTTTGAACTGTTCACATTCTACATGTGCAGTGCTTGCACAAAGCACCTTTGTGTCTTGAGGTCTTCAAGCCTGCATATTTTAATCAGTTTCCAGTTGTCTTAATGCTTATGAAAGACATGTCTCGTGAATTTGTACGCTTTCTTACTAGCTACAAGTGAGTTAATGCCTGCTGATTCAAAATCTGAGGGATTTTGTATGTCGTGTGGAGGATAATATTGCATTTGTTTACTATTTGTGAAAAGCTTGGAGCAGATTCCCAAGAGTTGTAGTCACTGTTTAATTTTCACAGCATGTTTCAGTGTCTATTTTTGGTCTATTTATTCTGTTTCCTTGCTGCAGAAAGTCATGTAAAACATGATAAATTGGATCTTATGAAGCCTAATTAAATCAATGACTGTGTTCTGCTGGCTGTTTTATGCAGAAACCGCAAGTATGTTGTAAAAGTTGCCACTCCCCTAATATGTGGATAGAGTCAAAGTATGCTGTAATTCTAAGATGTTTGGGCTATATTCGTGCAGCCCGTTTTGTGGTTAAGCCACCAGTGACATGTCTGAATAAGTAGCTTTGACAGGTACACTAACCACTCCTAAGATTTTTGGTGTTAAAACCTGTCTCCATTCTCCATTCCTTATCTTTTTTTTTTTTTTTTTTTTTTTTTAACACAGTTGCTGTGGTTTTGTCAGCATGAACTCTTCATCCTACTTTTTCTTTTTTTTTTTCCTCTGCTTTTGTAATTTTAGCAGCTGTTACATTGAGAGGTATTCAGATTATGCACATGCTTTTACTTTGTGTGTTACAGGAAGATTTGGGGATTTAAGGACTGGCTTTGTGATAAAGAAAGGCAGCTATATTTGTCCTATGAAAATCTGTGTGTTTAGGCAGAAAGAACATTGTAGCTATAGTTAGGGCTATAAAAACTCTGATTGCAATATTAGAGTGAATCAGTCTAGTAATAGTCCAGGGTGTTTTTTTTTTCTTTTTGTATTAGTTTATTGTTTTTTATTAAGATTGTCCTTCACATCTGAAAGTTTTCTTCAGTAAATTAACATGGTTTCTGGTATTGCTTATTCCCATTCCTTGTGTTTTACAACGGGATTGAGGGCGTTTTACACTTCATCAGGAAATTTGGTGTGCATTTTACCTATTGATGTAAATCATTTAAGTACATGCTGTGATTAATGATGCTATGGAGATACGCTTTGCATGTACTTTTCTAGCCGGCCTTGGGTGTAGCTCATTCACTGTGAAATAAAAGGGCACAGGGGTTATTTGCTGTAATTAAAGAACAAAGTCTATTGTTGCTTGACAGCAAACTGTTTTGAAAGCTACATAAGGGATTTGGCTGTTAAAAACATTGGTAGCAGTGGGCGCTGCACAATAGGCACAGCTCAAGGTTCTTAAAGTTCTGTAGTGTAGTCTAACAGTGTGACAGGGCTTTTGGGCCCGGGTGAAGAGGTGTTGCCCTTTGGCCAAGGGAGGAAGGCTTTTTGGTGCGAACCTGCTGACCCCGCCAAAAGGAATGGCCGAATGGGCGAGCACTGCCATGGAGTCCCTGAGCAAAGCGAGAGCTAGTGCAGCACAGTGGCACCCTTGCCCGGACGCTTATACATGCACATATTGCCACTGGTAAGCTCGTTCAGGAGTCCTGGGGAAATGTTTTGCTTTGGACATCGGTAATTTTACAATTTTAATAACTTCATAAATACCCAGTAAAGAGGAAAGGATTGATTGGCCAGATGTCAGGAGGTTAAGCATGCCCTCTGTTTTAAAGGGCTTTGCTGCAAGATTGTTTTAATTAAAGTTATATAAAGACTTGTTTTTCCAAAGTAGCATTTTATAGTCCAATAAATGAAATGTATGTTAAAAGTGCTAAGCGAAATCTCCCGTAACCACAGAGGTGTTCAATAACCAGATTCAAGTAATGTGGAAAGTACCATCTGTTCCTGGTTTTCAACATAAAGACATGAATCAAATAGCTGAGATTTGCTCATATTTTTTGACTCTCATTCTTTTATTATTATTATTATCATCATTATTTAGGAAAAAAAAAAAAAAAAAAGAACTTCACCTGGGACTTTATTGAAGCATTTTGAAATGCAATAATACAGGGGAGACTGTGAAAACATATGTTCATACATACATTTAACCGGTTCCACTTTCATTTAAAGATATTTCCAGAAGCTCAGTCATTGAAGAATTTATAATAGTGAATCACCTCCTGCAGGCAAACACAATAAGGGTCAGTTCTTCAAAGATCTTATTATTTAGTTAGAACCTGAATTATTCTGTCATTTTTTCCCTGAGAGGCAAAAGGAAGGAAGAAAGGAGAAGAGGAAAAAAAAATAGACTCTCAAAGGATAACTTTAGCAAGGTCTTATCAGTCACCCAATTGTATGATAAAACCATTGACTCAAATTTTCCATGCAATGAGTCTTCTGCTCTTTACAGAAGTATTCTCAGATTGTTGATAGCT